CCTTAGAACTGAAGAAGCTTCTCGGATGCGAGGTGAAACGTCTTCAAGCAACTTAAAGAAGTCCAGACGCTTTTCTTTGCAAACTCCTTTGACTACGATGACCTGGATGACTGAGAACCTTCACAGACATTGTAGCTTTATGTTTTATAGTATAGTTAAACTTGATTGTATCAGTTTATTTATTCTTTCCACTTAAATGAAACCAAAAAAAGGGAATTATGTAAAACTATAATAAAAATGTGATTGGAGTGGAGAGGTCAGCTGACTGTGTGATTAAACCTTCAGGGCTACAAGATGGATGACCTGCTGACCTCCTACATCAGCCAAATGTTGACCACCATGAACAAGCACCGGTCAGGGCGGGGCCACAGCAAGTGAACTTCTTACTGGCAGGAGGCCACTGAGCTCATCCGCCTCTTACGTCCTATTGGCCAGCACTGCAGCTGGGGGCGGACCTTTACCAGCCACCTTTGGAGGATGAGCCGCAGTCCTTCTGCTAGCTCAGAAGGGTCAAAGTTCACCTGGGAGAGTTCGAATGCTAGCGGCAGCAGCGACCCCGGCGAAGGCCCCAGCAACAATTACCACTACAGCTATGATGAAGACGAGCCGTCCAGTGAGGATGACTACCTCTGAACTGTCCTTTCTGACTGCGTCACCTTAAGACGCTGTCATCGTCAGGTTTGAGCCTTAAGTACACACTGCAGTGACCCTGAACATGACCCTGTATTAGCACTTTATGCTAACCTGACTTCTAATTGAGCATTTTTACATATTAGCATAGCAACACGCTAATGCGCCAGACTGCTGTAAGGGGATATTTGACTGTTAACAGGGTTTGTGCAGGTTTTAGAGAGCATTAATAAAGCCTCTTACTTTTGCCCGATGTTTACGATATCACGTGTTTCAGATGTCACACCTGTGGGGACCCCCTGCCTCATTATAAGCTCATCAAATCCATCCATTAAAGTTCACTTGTACATGTTTAGGTCAAACTAATGTCAAACTTTACATGTTTTAATACATACACAGATAATAAATTATTTTAGGCCATTTCTTGCTGATTCCTTTTGTTTCTTCAGCACTTTCACAAATAATTTGATGAACTCTGCAGACATCTAAATTACCCCAGAAGGAGTTAAAATGCACAGAAACATTCAGCTGAGACATGAGGCTGAAGAGTCAGAACTCATCAAACTGAGGCTGATTTTAAAAAGTAGCTCAGACTGTAGAAAAAGATTATCTCAGATCACAAAAACCATCCAGCCTGAGAGCGTAAAAACAGCGTAGTCTTTTAAAGACGTATATTTTCTCATCTCTCACTGAGTAAATGTTTGTTCTTTGAATTACTCGATCCGTCCATCTTATCCAGATGATTAAATAGCAGTCGTTTCATATTGCAGCATTAACAGGAACTTACATTTCAGTAAATTTAACATCAATGATTTTCAAACTGATATTAGACTGTATATTAATTATTAATAAAAGGGCTAAAAAGGTCGTTAGCTTCATGTGTGTAAATTAGAGCCTTACAGCAGATTTAGTGATTTTTGTTTTTTGAGCATCTTGAAATACTCAAAGTCAAAAAGTTTACGGCTTTTCTTTGATACAACACTTCCTGGAAGTCAAGGTCAGACACATTTGAGATTTTATGTTCATGTGTACCGTCTGCTCTTATTGGGTTCCAGTTCATTTGTTTTTAGTAGTTCTTTCCCTGACCTTAGGTCCAAACTGAGAGGAGGCCAGAGGGGTGTACTACGATGGCTTAGTGGGCCATGTCGAGCTTAAAGTCAGAGTTTCCTCTGTCATGAAAGTGGCTCTGTTTAACTGGCACAATAACCTGGTCAGGAGCAGGTTTTGTGCTCAGAGTTAAGTCACTGACTCATATTTACATCATGCTTTAAGTGCAATATGAATCCTCTGCTGTGGGAATACGTTTGATATGCAACTTGTTAAGCTGCACTTTACTACCATGACAAACTTACAGCAGCATAAACTCTGCATGGCATTGACATGTGAATCTGCATGTACTCAGCTGGTAATGCAGGAAATGTTTTTATAAGTGCTCCTCATTTACAGTTTAGTCTGCTTTACACTGCTGCAATTGCAGCATCTAGAACCCAGAACACACACTAAGATTATTCAAGTATTTCACTGTTTAAATGTGTCCAGTTTAAGGTTTCGGAGCTCTGATGTGCAGCCGTCAGGTTAGAAATAATCAGCAGCGCAGAGTGCGCGCTTGGCTTGAATAAAAATATTCAAATTTGTACCACTATTTTTATCATCTGTGACTTTAAAGTAGGTGTCACTCACGGGGATCATTTTCTGTGGATAAAGTCACATGACTTGACTTTGGTTTCAGGTTTTTCTTTGTCCAGCTGACACAAAGAAAACCTGGCTGTGGTGAACGTCCTTCGTAGCACAGCTCTGAGCTTATTTAAAACTTTTCTGTTGTTTTTGTGACACTAAATTGACCTGTAACATGTTTTTAATCTTTAGGTTAATGACTTCAGTGTGTCACAGTTTAATACAGGGGATTATTTTAATACTCATGGTTTATGTTTACACTTTTTATTTCTTTACAACTGTTCAGTTTTACATTTTTGCCTGTATTGCGTCATTTCTGTGAGAGCTGCTGCTTCTTCCTGTATGAGGCTTTTACATTCTAGTTTGTAAAAATGTTCTCAAATGTCACTTGTTAGCTGGTTCCGGGGTTTTCAGCTGAATCTCAGTTTTCCTAATATGGATGAGTTCTATCTTTTGAACTGGAATTGACCTAATCAGGATCAAAGCCAATACTGTCCTGATGAGTAATGTGGACCCTGAGTTAAAACAAACTACCATCAGTCACGTCACTTTTTCCTGCCTTTAAAACAGGCTTGGTCAACTCCAGTCCTCGAGGGCCGGTGTCCTGCAGGTTTTAGATCTCACTCTGGGTCTACACACCTGAAACAAATGATTAATTCATTACCAGGCCTCTGGAGAACTGCAAGACATGTCGAGAAGGTAATTTAACTATTTAAATCGGGTGTATTGAATCAAGGACACATCTAAAACCTGCAGGCCACTGGCCCTTGAGACCTAGAGTTCCTCCGCCCCTGCTTTAAAGTAAACTTTGCCTACCTACTTGTGTAGGTCTTTAAATCTTTATTATCCAGCGAATGAGAAATTTGGATGTTACGTAGCCCTTATAGCAAGGGGGATATAAAAATATAGAAGGAAGACACAAAGTAAATGTCCTCTCCTGCTAAGACATGCTGTTAAAAACGCTGATATTTTCACTGTTACATAAATCTTAAATACACACTTTGACCTGTAAAGGTCGCCATTACTCTGGTTATACGCCACGGCAATCATCATCATTTTTTATGTTTACGAGGTACAAAGAAAAACCACACTTGCTGATTTCTGTTGGAACTCCCAGTTAAAGTAAAATAAGAGTACATTTGGAAATTGCAAACTATGGATATTAAGTTCGAGTTCCCTTTTAATAATATTAAAGGTTTTAGATGCAAAATCCATTTAGACCTGTACTCAGGTTAAATTGTACTTGAATACCTAAGTATTAGCAAATCATTACTGAGTAACTATAGATTAGCTCATGAAAGTCCTATTAATGAGAACAACTAATGAATTTAACAGAAGCAAACGCGTAGCTCCATATCAAGGCTGAGCTCCTGGAAATGTACAGCGACTCAGCATCTGTACCTGCAAGAACAGTGAACAGTGAAACTAAGTCAGATATCAATTAAAAATACTACAATAAAGGTCTCACGGTTCAGTTTTTGACTTTCGTTTGTGTAATAAATTTATGTCGAAGCTGCTGGTGTCTCAGACTTGAGTGTCCGGTGGCGTCGGTCTGGTGGTGCAGGGGCTCGGTGTGAGTTGTTAGGTTTGATATTTGAACCTAAACTATGATCCACTAAATCTAACTGAACAGAAGGTAAAGGTAATAAAAATGATCTGCATGTTTATCATAAAGTTGCAACAAACCTATCCACAATCAGTAAACACTGTTGATAGTTAATTAACCTTTTTATAGTTATTTGCTCTGAATTTACAATTTATTAAGGTTTACATGATAATTGTGTTTTTGTTGTGTTTGAAATTCCAGCCTGGTTCCTTTTTTAAACCTCATTACGTCGACCTGTTGAACCCTTCATTCTTCTGGTAACCAGCTCTGGGCTTTTGTCTGTATAATAAACTGGTGTTTGTAACTGTGCCAATCAGCCCATTTGATACATTCACGTTTGAAGTTTTTGCCTTTTGTGTTTCTGTTTTCAGAGTATTAGTCTGTGTTTTGACTGATTGTGTAACTCATCATCCTGACTTCCTGTAGTGTTTCTGTAACGTGTGCTCTCACTTTTGTACAAAGCACTCAGTAAATCTGGATTCAACTTAATTAATTTCACTACTGTAATATTCAAAACAAGTATGATCAGTCAAACGTCTGAAATACTAAAAGATTAAAATGTCTTACTAAAGTTGGATTTCTGGTCTACTGCTACTTTGTACTGCGTGTCTGTAAAATTCAAGAATCAAACCTGTTTGTAATGTTTAATACCAGGTGACGGCAGCATTTCATCAGATAAGTTACAGTAAAGCAAAATAATTTCCTTTAAAATAAAATATTGCAGGTCAGAACAGCACAATGTAAAAAAACCAGAACATATTTAACATTTTGAAAGATTAGCATCTGAACTATGATACTAGTTTTATAATATTACATTATATCACAGATCACTTCTCAGCACCAAGTGTGAAGCTCATTATTCAAAAACAACACTAAGCGATACATAAGATTTTCGATGCTCTCGCTCTTTCCAGTGATTTTTATCATGTAACACCTCAGAGGTCCCACTTTGCCTGTAAAAGTCTCTTACATCCGTAACATTAAAAGATGAGTCACATTTAAAGAGCAGCCAATGAACAGAACCTCTGTGTGCAGACAGGACCCCTCCAGGATCGACGAACCAAACAACTAACAGACAGCCTCAGTTCTACCCGCTTAAAAATGTTTGCACTCCTGCAGGAATGAAGACAGCAAAGCAGAGGCGCTGCACTGACTACGAAACGAAATCTTTCCAAGCACCAGATAATCCAGATCATCAGTCTTTATTAAAGGTGGCCTGTTTTGGACGGTTTAACCCCTCAACCTGGAGAGGCCTGAAGTCTCAGTGAGTCTTAAACTTTATCACCTAAAGTATCAAACAGGATGCCTGAATTCATTTTGTAGTTTTGGCTGGACAGTTCTCATCTTTCAGGAACCATTTGGATTTTGTCTCTAGCATAAACTAACAGAGTTGCTTGTAAAACGGGCCCACTGCTGGGCCAAAGTGTGACGCCCCGACTGCCTGCTGATGGCGCTGTGTGCCCAGCTGCTTGTTGACTTTTTTTCTTAACTGAAAAACTGGCATAAAAGGGGGTTTCTCAAACACATGCCGACTTAAACACGTCTGTCCGCCTATTATTGGTGGTAACAATCGATTTTTTAAAACCTATTAATGTTTAGTGGATAATTATTTCTGTATGAAGAATCCGGGTCTCGTCATAAATGCTATAACCAGCAAAGCACCGGAAGACAAATAGGATGGACTGGATTTTCAGGCATCAATCGCACAAAGCTACTCTCGTAGCTTTCTTTGGTCAAAAGTCACAAAATATCAACTACGTTTTTATGATTTTGAGTAGATTTTATTTGCAATTAGCATGTTGATAAACGTATTACACAGATTTCTTTGATGCTGTTTGTTTGCTGCCTGTCCTGTGAAATTCCAGCAGTTCCTCTGGATGCTCGAGTATTACTCTCAACTAAAAACGGCTGTTTACAGAAACTAGTTAAAACATCAAGCTTACACAGCAGATCAGCCACTGTCAAACACCAACTACACATTCAGATTACAGTGCATCATATCAGGCTGGAGTCTGTTGTGACTGTTTGAGCTCTTTAATCATTCGGAGGTCTTGTGTCTCCCTGCCCTCTGCTGGACCAAACCCAGCCCTCTGTGGGCCCAACATGGGAGTCCAGTGTGGTGCAGAACAGGGAAAGCTGCAAGTCTGCTCGAGAGCAGCTCCAAGTTTCCAACAAAATCATTTATTCAAATCTATGAATTGATTAAAATTGGAGAAATTTGGCACAAAACCTTCTGTTGAAACCTACCGTTTGAATTTGCTAAGGACACCTGGTGTCAGACTTCAACTGCCTCGTTGCATATATAACTGCTAGATTTCAGCTGTCCTGTTTAATTCTGACTTTTTTGAAGATTTGAGGTGAGTATTTAAATGAATTATCATTTACTGAAGTCTGCAGCTGGGAATTTACTGAAAACTGTGCAGATTTTAACACTATAGGAAAATAATGACAGCTGCCAGCGTTACCCTCAACCTCTCAGAAGATGCACCCGTGGTAACAATGTTGCTTCGTTCTCCTCCATTCACAAACTGTGTCCATGCCACCGGCCTGCCCGGCAGGGTGACGATGACGTCCCATCAGGCTTTTACTGCTGAGGGGTACAAAGTCTTATTTTGTGCCTTGATTAAGACACGAGACACTTAATTTACTTCTCATTATCAGTGTTACGACCCTGATTAGGGGACAGGAGGGGAGTAACATACAAGATTGGTCAAAGCTAACAAAACTGTCTCTGTCCTGTTGCTCTTCACCCTGAATGTTTAGAGCTGAGCCTGCAGACACTGATATAAAGCACTGCAGACGGGAGTTGGCAAATAAAGGATGGATAAAAGCACTGGAGGTACACAAAAAAGAAAAAACAGCAGCAAATTACTTTTTACGCCAAGTCGACAGGTTTCCAGTGTTTTGTTTTTACTCACATTTCCACACAGAAATTGGTCCATTAAACATGTGCTTGTAGCAAAGACTGCACTTTTAGCATAATGAGTCACCATTGGAGAATTTTTAGAAACTATTTTGTATTTTCTAAATAAGAATCCGGCACATTTACGTATGATGTGCGATCAAAGTGATGAAAAACAAATCCGCTCACAGCAGAAAAGCCAAGGCCGCATCACCCTGCGGATTTCACACCTGCAAAGCTGACAAGACGCTCTGAATTTCATCGCTGAAATCAGTTTAAGTTAAGACAACACAGTACAGATTCAGTGTGTAGCCAGGAAATACTGGCTATATATTTGAAGACAACGCTGATACTGGACTTATTAAAGTAGTCTGGTTTCTCTGACACTGATACCACACTTGGCACTGATGAGACACCAAAATAAAATTACCAGCAGCCAGTTTAAAAAACAAAAAAACAAAAAAACCCACGTGTCGGTTTGAATCTGAGTGAAGAGCAGTGGTGGGGAATATACACAGTCAGCTGCAGACATCACAGAGCGGTGTTCATTCATAATGTCTCTGAAGTCCGCTCAAAGACTGCCCAACCACCCCCGCAGGCCTCCACACGGACACTCCTGCTTTATATCAGATAAGAAAATTTACATCACCTGGACCAAAGTGGACCCCAGCAAACTGATGGATCCATAAACTGTAAAAGACTTAAAACACACACACACACACACACACACACACACACACACACACACACACACACACACACACACACAGACAGAGCAAAGAGGAAGGGCTGTGAGTGGCACGTTGACCCAATCACATTCAAAACCAGTACAGGTAAAAAGCCAATGAGAGTCCTTGATCTACAAAACTAACTTCACACCTGGTACCATCCACCGCCAGCTGTGTTTGACACGGTGACAGAGCGACTGAAATAAGATAAAACAAAAGCTGATTGGATGCAGACAAACTGAATGTTTAGTTTGTCACCATCATTACATTTTGCAGATTCCTTGTAAACCTCTGCAGGCTGGCAGCAGCCGCCGTCTCTCTCGAGCAGTGATGCCTGCAGCATGCAGGGGGAGCCTACAGTAGGACGTTTAAACCACTACATTTATCTTAAAGCTCTAGTTATTAATTGCAGGTTTAGACTATTACTATAAAAAAATAAACCTACTGATTAATTATGCTATAGTACTTATAGATTAAGCTAACCAGCAATATATAGAGATATATGTATATATAAACTAATTTAAATGACTTTTTCCCCACGGTGGTAAAATTGAGATCTGACCCTGGGAAAAATGTCATGTTGGAAAATACAGCCAAAAATCTGCATACTTTTTGGAAACTTAATATTACATTCACTTTAGTACACAGATAGATGAACTGTACCCTTCCCGAGCCTTTGGTTTACATTCATTCTGTCAGTCCAACAGTATCGAGTTCACACACTGAATCTAGCAATTCACAGACACACAAGTGATAATTTAAGACATGGTTTAAGGTTTTTGTCTGATGCACCTGATGTCTGTACAGCTGAAAATGAAAAAGCACAGCTCATATGTAAGAGTCAATTTCATTTCTTCTGTGTTTACAGTTTATCACAGAGCGTCTCTGATCAACATTTGGTCCTTCATCAGCGAGCAGACGCACAAAGGTGACTGATGGATCACTGCAGCTGCAGACGTTCATTATTTTGTTCGTTCACCGTGCCGAATGACCAGAAATGAAAACGTCCTCATCCTCTGGTCTCGTCTTTAACTGTCCTCACTTTGAGGAATTTAATGGCATCATGAGATTACAGTATGGAAACGGACACCCCAGGGCGCGTGTCCACAGTCCATTTGCTTCATCTCTGATGGGAAATGAATGAAGGCTTTTTATTTCCAGCTGTTCGTCTTCCACAGGCGGCCCACCCACAGACCGAGAGGATGACAGATGGAGAATAGAGTGTGCCGTCTACTTTCTGCTCTCTCTGTCATGACTTCCAAACATTTTTAGTTTTCATTTGTTTGTTAAAAGGTGGTGTCACAAATTTCTGTGCACTGCTCGGAGTTTTCCATCAAAATGTGAAGACAAATGCTGTGTTGGCTGCTCACACTGTCTGTCAAGTCCCATCAATCCACATCGATTTTGTGGGTGTTAAACTGATGCTAAGTAATAGACTGACTATTATAAGCAACAATAATTAAATAACAAAAGCTTAAGATCAGAGAGTTTGACAGGCCTTCATCACACTCTCAACAAGGACTTTTTCCATCTCTTATCTGTCCTTTCCTGACTTGCACCTTCCTTTTTTAATCTCCCTCCCTCTCACTCCTCTGTGATGGTGGGCAGGTGAGGGGTGCTGGGTGAAGTAGGCATGCTCCGTAAATCAGGCCGGACAGTGACGCTGGAGATGGACCAAACATCGCTGAGCTCTGCAAAACAGAAAAACCCAAACAGTGTTCAGTGAGTTCACGACAACAGTTTATACTGTCACATGGTGTCAGCATGGTGGGAATTAATACAAAGGTGAAACTGGAGGTCAGAGGACTGAAGGAAAGAAGGAAGGACAGCATAAATGACGGGGTACACTACTGAGGTAAGTGCATGATACACAAGCACAAATCCTGCAGATCATTATTTTCCAATTTGTAATTATTGTACAGCAGCGGGTCTCAAACAGCGTGCTGTGACACAAACTCCAATATTCTGGCAAATCACATATTACTGCCATATGCAGCTGCACAATGAGTAATAAATTACTTTTTTCTTATTTTCAGTAGGAAGTCATTTACTGCAGAACATAAAGTCACAAAAACATAATTCTTTCAAAGGGAACCACATCCTGTTTGGGCCGTTTCAGTGTCACACATTAAAAACTCTAGAGTGTGATGAGGGGATGGAGGAGATGTGCTCGTGGAACTTTTTGCGAAGAAAAGAAATTTTGTGTCACATCATGAAGACTCTTCATCTGACAGTGAAGTCAAAAGAACTGCTGATGTGACAAATGGTAGTGAGGATCTTTTTCAGATATAACTACCACCTAAAAAACGCTAATGCTTCAAATTGTCCTTATTGTGACCACCTCGGCAGTCTGCAATGTCAGCGAGGACGGAGAGAGCAGACAACTTCTGTTTCAGACTGACACTGTCAGTGAAAGATCGTTATCATAAGAGCTGGGTGTCCAGATATGACCGAGCCATTGTCAACATTTTTTTAAACTGACGAGTCCACAGTGTGCAAACGTAAAGGCACTAGTTCAGGTGTAAACAGAGATCAGAGGCACCGCCCCTCCAAAAAAGACTGTAGTCTAACATCCTGAGGTGTTTGAGGGAGAACAGAACAGAGGCGATGTTTATTCCTCCTCTTCCACCCTTTTCACCAGCTCTGCCTCAGTGAAACTTCAGGCACTTCCTTAGAATAAAAACCAAAATTGAAGGAGTGCTGTTTTAACGTGGCAGCGCTCACAGAGAAGGACTGAATCTGCAGAGTGATCTAAAAACAGCAGCTGCACTGAAACAGTTCGGAGGTGCACGACAAGATGATCTTGAACTGTCTTTTTAATTTTATGGGGCTATGTTCTTGAACTTTTTAAAAACTTTCATAACAGCTAATGATCTTTGTAGTTTCACAGAGTTTCATATGATTTCCATGGATGATGGGAAGCAGTTTTTCAGCAGGAAACACAGAAAGATGCACATTAAAAACAGGGTTCATGACTCATACAAAGTTCTTGGAGGGACGACATGCAGGGCTGATATGCGGGGGGGTCATGGGTTGAAGACCAGGGGGAGGGAGACAAGGGCTCCAGGAGGAGGGTCAGAGTGAAGAGCGCTCCAGCGAACACAGATGATCTCGGCGGAGTCTGACACACATGACACATACGACACACAGCAGGAGATCACTGCATGCACAGATGTTTTCATGAAATAGCTACAGTGTTGGTGGCTAGCCTGCTACATAAGAAGCTACAACAGCACTGTGTGGGTGACTATTTCAGCCGTTAAGCACGATCACTGAACAAAGTGAAGGCTGTGAGACTATCACTACTGGCAGAAATCAGTGTTTTCCTCACATTTCTGACCGTTCACCAACCAAATATGAGTATGACGTGTAAATCAATGAAATACCAAATTTAATTTTTTTTTAAAAAGGACAACCTAATTTTATGACAACATCACCAAACATTTAATTTCCATGTAGTAAAAACCCCTGGATATGTAACACAGTCTTCAATGAATGCAGACTAGCAGCACCTTTAAAGTCTAAGCTAAACCTCAGCCGGGATGAAAGTGACACAGATGTTTACATCTGTTTTCATCAGTTTGTCTTGTCTAGTTGCAGATTCACCAATCATGCAGAACTTTGACCTTTGAACCTTAACGTTCACTCACAGAGTCACACAATAATGGAAGCATCAGGGGAAATAAAGCGTTCAGTATTTGCCCAAGGACACTTCAACGTATCACAGAAAACAGGTAATATCAGCCATGACGGGGACAAAGCATGACAAAGTTACTGGAACACGTGTGTAATCTGCTGAAAGTTGATGTTTCACATTTATCCAGCACTGTGTACAAGAAAAACGTTGTTATACCTGTCCTGAACTTGCTGTATGGTCCATTCTCGTGAGTCTGCCGGCTGCCGGACCAGAAGGGCAGGCCTCGCTCTCTCCACCTGTCACACACACACCGCAAACAGAGATCAGAGCAGCAGAGCGTAACCTGGTGTGCTGCTGTGTTTACCACTGTGCTTTGAGGCTGCTGCATGTAGCAGCTTTGATGTGTACACATGTGAGAGGAGGTCTGGGCGAGCCTCAGCTGAAGCCAGCCTATACAAAGAGTGAAGGAAGGAGCAGATGATGAAAGGGGCAACGCAGAAAAAAAAAGTACAAATAAAACCACAGAGGATTTTCTTTGTGGTGAAGAGCATCGTCTGTGTGACAGGAAAGACTCCAACTCTCTTCATATCCTCAGTCTAAGGGCTGCTAGTTATAGTCACAAATAGCTAACCTGAAAAAGCTGTGCTTGAGTTCAGATCTAAATTAACCCCTCGTGATCTCGCTGTGAACACAATCTCATGACAAATTCAGTTTGAGTTGATAAAACAAATCATGGTTGAATATTTGAAAGCACAAAAAAGGCAGCTTCTTTAGATAAAAAGGAGCATTTATCATCATTAATGCTGTTCTTAGTAGCTCATTACTTCGTAATGTATGACTAGACAGATAATCAAAGTTAATGAATCTTTAAATGAAACTGACATCTTACATCAAGAGAAAACCAGCCGAGCGTCACATACTGTGAAATGTGTGCAAATATCAATAAATATAATCAATGTGGCTTTATTGTTTATTATCATTTTTATAATATTTTAAAAATATTATACTTGAAGATAATTATTATTTGAAGAAGAGATTAAAGTAAATAATTAGACACAGAATATTAAAACAGAATTTTAGGATCTCTTGAAGCTGAACGAAAAAATATTCTGATATTATTTTTGTGTGAAGAAGCAAAATGTTTGCTTCCACAAAAGTGAGCCACACCGACTCAGCCCAGCACAGCTTATGGTTAGGTTTAGGGTTAGGCATTCATTTTTAATGGTTAGGGTTAGGGAAACCATTATGTCAATGAAGGTCCTTACTAAGATAGCTGAACGGGCTCGTGTGTGTGTGTGTGTGTGTGTGTGTGTGTGTGTGTGTGTGTGTTCCTACCAGTGGAATATGAAAATTGCAGTGATGAGGAAGGCTGACACCACATCAGTAAGAATCCACATCAGACTATATTCCTCTGAGGTCTAGAGAGACACAATAAAAGGATTTATTACATTTATTAAACAAAGAGTTCTGAGATTTGTTGGGTCACAGATGGAGGAGACTGAGCATTAATACGATTATTCAACACTGTGATGGTAAACGGACTGAACACTCTTATTAAAATAATAATTGCACTGGAGCAGGAGAGAAGGTTTATGTAATCAAATGCTCACAGGTACAATCTCCAAACACACACGACACCTGCTGCACAAGCTTCAGTGGATAACAACAAATTTTAGACGTTTTTAGTGAATTACTCAGAGCCTTACCTGAAGCTTGCTGACACGAGCCTAAAAACTGTTTTCATCAGGCATAATGGGAGGTAATTATCTGAAACTAAGGAGAGGGACCACAGCTCAGACACTTCCCTTCTGCTTCTCTGTCATTAGCACATGGAGATCTGTCTCCTCGGGAGCTGCTGCCAGTCCCCTCACAGGCCTTCACCAAACCGCAGCCTCAGTTCATCCTTACACAATCTGCCATTATCTTCTACAAATGCTTTCATATCTAACAGAGTATGTGGTGCCAGCTTGTGAATAACTCTTTTATGAAGCATGAAATATATTACATGTAAATGCTTGTAACCAAATCCTATTACTTTTAACAGTTTCTAAGTTCTAAGAGCCTTCTGGTTTCTTTAACCTCCTAAGACCCGAATTCTTTCACGGCATGCATTTTTAATTTATCTTTTCTATTTGGGCTGATTGGGACCCGATGAATGGAAAAACAAAGAATTATCTTTTTACCTTATTTTGCTCTACAATGGCCTGACATCCACATATGAGTACATTCATTTTAAATTTCGATAGAACAGTGGTAGTATAATGTCCTCGTAAGTGGATATCAGTAGGGATGGGTACTGTATCCGGTGCCATAATGGCACTGGTTCTGACATAAACGGTAGTAACCAGACCAAAAAGCAGCGCACATTTCGGTGCTTTTTTTCTTGAGATGTCACACACTTTGGATTCTAGCCAATCATTTTACCTTTCCAAGGATAGTAGGCGGGTCCAGGTACATACGTTCTTTTAGGGCAGAGCTACAGATTAAAAATGCCCAAGGCGAAGCGGTCAAAAGTCTGGCTGTACTTCACAGCAAAGGATGCAAACTCAGCAGCCTGCAACAAGTGCTTTAAGCTGATACTGTGATACTGTGCAAAGGAGGTAACACCTCGAATCTGATGAAACACATGGCGATGCATAGCGTTTTTTTAAAAGCCGAGAAATGCACCCGTATTTGATAGCTTGCTGCGAGACCTCACAGCGAGCACATCTACTGCGGGTGTGGTGCCTGTTATCGGACCCAGAGTTAGCAACATCCCCCAAGAACCCGAAGAGGAGAGTCCTGGCCCCTAGCCCTGCCAGTGTAGCAGAAATGATGACGGATGATGATGCAGCAGCAGCCGTTCTTCTCTGGGTGAGAAGCTTAATGTTGTTCGTGTGTAATTTATTTTATTTATTAAATTAATGCATGTAAGGTGAACTAGCAAACACCGTCGTAGTTACATGCAGCCGTTTTCTTGTTTGATGGCAGATGCTCCCTTCACCCTGGCCAAAAAGGCTAAAATGACCAAAGAAAAAGTGGAAAACAGCTAAACATGAGAGGTTTAGGACAAAGTTTGTGTTTTTTCCATTGTTTAAGCACTGCTTCCAGCCAAGAGTGATACCATATGCCCCATAGCTGCAGAAAAGGCTAACATTGTTATATTTTTACAAAAAAAACAAAAAAACAAAACCAAAACAAAACAGCTAAACATGAGAGGTTTTTGGACAAAGTTTGTGTTCTCCATTCTTTAAGCACTGGTCACCGGTTCGAGCACTGTTTAAGCACCGGCACCATTTCAAAACTAACGGTTTGGCACCGGTATCAGATAAAACCTAAACGATACCCATCCCTAGATATCAGGCCCTTGTAGAGCAAAATGTAGTATTTTGGCCTAGACAACCCAACATTTGATGTCCACATATGTGGACGCCAGGTCCTAGGAGGTTGATAAAGTCTAATATGACTCATAAAAGAATTGGAGGTTTGAATCTGCTCACCATCAGGAACAGCGGCTTGTTGATGTTGGACAGGATGTGGATGGAGTTGGTGGTCACGGACTGCGCTCCAGCACACCAGGCCAGTGTGTAGAGCCAAGGCTGGCTGATCACATACAGGTTAGTGCTGATGTTCACTGACTGGTACTTTCTGGGGAGAGAGATGCAGTTTAGCATGCCAAGCCTTCTCTGACAAAGAGACATCGCCTGGATGGGAGCGCATGCTGCTCTGAAACCTGTCAGCATTGATCGGGCTTTTCCAAATGTGCAAGCTGCCAATTCCATCTGCACTAATGCACGCTCATACCAACAAAGACGTGGGCTTCTGAGGGATTAACTTTTCTACACATTTGCAGCCTTAAATTTAATGAAAGACTGTTACTGATGAAAAAGAAAGCTGTTAAGTTTGACTCTGGTATTCATACATTCTACTGCAGTTTTTCCAGTGACTCAGTGGCCTGTAAAAGACTTGTGTAAAAGTTTGACCGCATGCTTTATGCTCTGATTAAAACCTATCAGGCAATAACAGTATGACTCATTCCACCCGTCACCTCTAGTTGGTGACAAATAACAGTTGAAACGTTTTCATGAAGATGAATCAGTTGTAACAGTGGAAGATTATTTCAGTCGCCTGTGTAAGTTGTGTTGAAAACTGTCTGTATGTGAGTCACTCCACCATCTTTCTTTCCAGATTGTTCTCCCACAGCTACTGTTACTGTACAACTACCTCCCTCTCTTATTCTCCTCTCAGCTGGACCCGTCTGTACCTCCTCCACTGCTTCCTTCACGCCTCTACTGAACAAATTCCTCTTTATCCACACTTTCCTCTCCTCACTTCAGCGATGAGCATCTCTCACACCTGCCCTTTATCTCCCTCTCACTTCCCTGAGGTTGTTCTACAAGCACCGAGATGGAGTCACTGAGGAAGCTGCGTCCATCTGTATCTGGGTTACATAACTGCACACATGCACAAACACAAGAGACCAATTCAAAATGTCAAGTTTCTCTCAGTTGGTATAAATAGGGTTGTTTTGCCCCTAGATGGGTGTGATTGCATAATTGAATGTTTGAACTATGTGCAGGCCATTATATCTGCTGTTGTTTTTCTAGTCTGAACTTACAGACTTGTACAAATAACCATGTTTAATTTGTATTTTAGAAATCCGATTTTGCATGAATAGTTTTTCTGCGGTGCATAAAAAGAAGAAACACAGAGAAGAACTTCCATCACCAGGACAGTGGAGACGGAGCTCATCGGGTCAGGCAAAACCTGAAGAAGCAGCTGATTGTGTTGCTGTTTGTTTGTCACAAAGATGACAGCCAATACATTTAAATGAATGCTATTATTTATATCTGCTTGATTATAATTAAACTCACAATTAAAATTGTGTTGGTTAATATTTGTTTTATCTTTAATGTGTTGTTTGAGTAATTTATGTAAGTTAAAATGACAATTCAAATCATTAACAGCCCTGGTATTGGTTAATAATTCATGAGTGTGAGCATGTGGCCTCTCCTGACACGAATACAACCTAAATCTGAAGAAACTCTGAAATAATTACCGCTGCAGTGATTAACAATCTTTAATTAAAACTGCCTAAGACAGACGTTTAATGTATGCCGTTTATCAGCTCTGTACCGGATCTGTTGCTGAGACATGGTGCTGTAGTGCAGGTTCAGTCTGGTGATGTGTCCGTCTGTCAACTCCTGGATAGAAGCCTTTTCTCCAGAGGTCTGCTGCAGGTGTGGGTCCACAGCCTGGACCTGGTCCCTGTCTTCAGATGGCAGCCACAGGACCTACAGCCACACATAACACAGTGAGCAAACAACACCAGGAAAAATTAACAATAGGAAAACTAAATGCACTGATTGTGTTTGCAGAACGGCACTAGACTGAAACCAAAAATATCCCCATTAAACCAATTTAACGTTATCTTTAAATCAAAGTGCAGATACATTAATCCTGATCAGTTACCTGCGAGGAGTTGATGTGGGCCTGTACCACCTGTAGAGTGGTGTTGATGTATGACAGACTGTATGGGTGTCCAAGCGGTGGCCTGCGCAGGTCGAACAGCACGAGTCTACCACTTCGGGCTGCTACCTCCAGGAACTGGACCAGTGAGGGAATAGACTGGTTCTGGGCCTGGGAGCGGTCTGCCGCAGAGAGGGATGACACGGTGCCAAACGGATCCCTCTGCAAGTGAGAAGCAGAGTGATGGTGAGAGGAAAAAAAATCAGGTTGAATTTCACCTGCTCTTAACTTAGAGGGACATTTTCTGTCTTTTTCTTTGGCTTAGTTGTTTATCTGTCAGTCACTGCAAGCAGGAACTCAAACAACATTTGTGAATTCTAAATATCTGTAGGAATGTGTTTCTTCAGTAGTTTCTATACAGATGATGCATTTCTAAGCCAACAACATGCTGCTGTTGCTCTGTGTTGAGCTGCGTGCGTGCTGGTCATACCGATAAGAACCAATCACCAGCGTTCAACTGCTGCAGCTCGGTCCAAGTGAACATGGAGGCGTCGAGGTGTGTCCTGTTTGGGAAAACCTCCGCGATGTTAGTGGTCCTCTTCAGGGTGGAGTCGTGCATCAGGAAGGGAACGCCATCAAAACTACAGACAGAAAGAAATATTCAGTGAGTCACAACACGAGGATTCAAGAAGGAAAAGTCGGACTCCAAGATGAAGGGTAAGTGATACAAGGGAAGAGGAAGTGAAGAGGCAGTAAGGATGACCAGATTCACTGGTCAGCACTGATAATATGACTTCATAACAACATGTAGATTTACAAACTGAACCCCAGAATCTGCCCTGCAGACTCTCAGTAAGTTGCACTTATTGAGCTTCAATCCTCTCTCACAAATCTGTTGATGTGGCTGAAGGAATAAAAAAAGAAATCGCTGCACTCCTACCAGAAAGCTCACCTTATGAAAGACATTATATAGTGTAGTTACACAACAGGAGCCCAATATTATGCACAACATAGAAATACAACTCATTCTTATGAAAGCACCACCAGACACAACAGCACTGGATTAAGCTAACCCGCTGATGTTGAGCCATGCAGTGCAGCTGATCCTCCTGTTTTCAGGTTGTAAAATGGCGCTAAACGTTTGGTTGTAGGCTCACGGGAGTGCTCACCGCTAATTGGATTAGCATGGCAGTAATCACCTCAGCAATGAGAGGAGCGTGCTAGCATCTGATCTGTGTAATTCAAGAGACTCGGCTGTAGTTCACTGATCACCTGATCTGATTGATCTGATCATTTTACCATTAAGGAAACGCCCAGAGGTAACAGTCAGTGTCAAAGGATGCACCGATTGCAGTCATGAGTTTTTGTAATCCTGTAATGTGAGGCTGGCTTTAGATGAGCAATCTTTTCATGCCATCTGCAGTCTGGATTTTAAGTTACATGCCAGGTTCCAAACTTTCACACTTTTGGTGTGAGACACACTTATTCACTGATTCTTCCTATTGTCAGCAAACAAATAACCCACCAAATAAGCCTCTGAGATAAATAAAGCATATGGCAGCATATATGACTGGTGAGAACACATCCTGTCAGAAGTTATAGGTGGATGCTGGGGTGGTGGAGGGGTTGAGGTAGCAGTAGTACTGACATATTAGAGTGAAAGATGGGAAATTTTCAGCTTAACCCTCCTGTTATGTTGCGGGTCAGATTGACCCAGAACAGAAGAGATGTCACACGTCATCTGCATCATTACAGAAAATGAAAAAAATCTAAATTATAAAAGAAAATTGTAAAATAAATAATGCCAGTGTTTCTGACACTTTTGGATGAGTAAATTTGCCCCGGGTCAAATTAACCCAGGAGCATAATCGGTGTTCCTGGAAACCAACATAACAGGAGGGTTAAGAAAGAAAGACTGCTACGCTTGTTATGGGCATACAATACAACGCAGCTCAAGTGGTGCATCTGAACTAGCTTGAACCAGCAGTTATCCTCAGCACCATCAGACCTGCTGGGACATTTTACTTTAAGTAACTCTGTAACACTGAGACTGGTCCTTGTAACCAGGAAGTCAAGTTTATAATGAATTTTGTAGATTAAATTCAAGATCTGTTTTTACAGCAGTGACATTACTGTGTGCAATTCACATGCTCCATAAATAAAAGAGTGAGATAAAAAAAATCAGTAGGATGACACACCTGATGGTGACATCAGTCTCCAGTCCTTCTCCTCCAGCTTCCACTGCCTTCTCAAAAGACATCACAGTGTTCTCCGGAGCGAGCTACAGAAAAACAAGCAACAATTTCAGAAGGGATTGTTGGAATGGAATTCCATGCTATGCTTTATATTAACTAAAATGCCATATAACCATAAAGTGCAGTATTAAGTCGACACAGCCCTGAAAATAAAGGCATTAGACTACGTGTCCTTGGGGGTAGAAAGCTGTAGACTCTTGCTCACGCTTGCCTGGGAGAAAGTAGATAACAGGGGACCATCTTCTAGTGGAAAGTTACTGAAACACTTGTTTAGACTAGAGAGGGACCAGCAGATTGATTGTTTGATTGTAACTGATTGTTTATTCCGAGATGAAAAACTCAAAGGGGATATTACACTGTTTTATGATGCATGATACTACTGATTTATAAGAAATACTGTTTGCAGAGAATCATGGCCTTATTTGTCTGATTAGAAAGAACAAAACATACTGCACAGGAAGCCAAGGTCATAACTTAGGCTTAGTCTGGAAGGAGCCGAAGCTATAAGAATGTGAGAAACAGTCAGACACTTCAAGATTTTGCCGGACACCCTCCTGTGCAAATCTCCCATCCAGACGTTTATGCCTAAAGGGTTGTATGGTATAAAGAGATTGTTGATTGAGCATTAAACACCAAGTGTCGTTCTTCTTTCAGCCCAAAGATCAAAGAATTGGGGTATTTAACAGGATCCAACCATCGCCCTGATCAGACATATTCTAACAGGATTGCACACAGGATGCTGCAGAAGCAAAATCAGTTTCCAAAACGTCAATCTGGATATCAGCCTGTTTTCTTTTCCTCATTACATCGTGAGCTTTAGAGTATCTGCTGAGCTACTGGGCACAACTTAATATAAGCTGTTTATATTTATTTCTGATCTACAACAAGCAGCACAACTGTTAGAACTGTCACAGCTGACATTAACTTGGATGGAAACCTACTTCCACGACAGATTTTACCTCCTATGGTGTCAATATAAGCTCAGACGCATGTTGAATAACAAATATCCACTTTCCCTGCTGCCACCTGCATGAACATTACAGCCAACAGGTGGATTTTCCCGTTTCACAGCTAGCCAAACAACGAGGAAACACTGACTGTTTAGGAGACACAGAGTGAAAGTGGACAGTACATCTTTGGTTTCTTAACATGAAACTCTTTGCTGTAGCCAGGGGGAGCACCAAAGTGACCCCCCTTAGACTTGTTAGTTTTAATCTTGTTTTCCACTGAGGTTCACTGGTTTTCTAATATAATGTAAGTCTATGAGCTGCTATGTTACATCTATGCAAGTTTGTGAGAGCAGGGCTTCATGGTGCAAATTAATCTTTATACACGTGGTGTTTAATGTCCACTTTAACTCCGAGTGTAAATTTTTTCAATGACTTTATTTTAGGGCAAAGTCAAAAAACTGTTTGGCAGTTTATTTTTTAAATGCCCCATAAGTAGGATGGCAAAGGGTCCAATTTGTCCCAGTGGACGGAAATGCAAGGTGTGAAACTGCAGCGTGGATCATTGTTTTCTATTTTTACATAACTGCACTGCGATTCTTGATGTGATGATGTCAGCGTTATGATGCGTACATTACCCAAAGGGAGGCTAATCCACAATCACACAAGTTAAAATATTTTGCAAACTTACTTTAGGAATAAACAAAATCAGATCAGATGATCACAGTTTAATTCAGCCTCACCATTGGAGCTCCTCTGTGCCCAATGAGAGTAGGGGCAGGTCCCAGAGTTCCCGCCTCTTTGATGCAGGGCGAGTACATTCCCAGAGGAACCAAGTAGAGCGAGAACAGCACGGACAGAAAGAGTCCCAGGACGGCCACCTGACGGACTAAATGCCACAAAAATAAATAAACGGTCATGAAACAGGAGCGTACTACTGCATACTACTGTCCAAATATTCTGCACATAAAATACACGCATTCTGCTGTAATTTGTGCAATTCACATGTAAACAAATCCTAATACTAACAAGCATAAAACTTCACAGTTACAGGAGTGCTATGCAGTAGAAACTGGAACTTAATCAGGATAATATGGAGTAAATCTTTCTTGATAGGATCAACATAGTGCTTAACAACAGCAGCCATATGGGCAACACAGGGAAGTCTGGACAGAGAGCAAATACAAAGACCTGAATTGTAGCCTCTTAAATACAGATAATAATAATAAGACTATTCTATGAGTTTTTATAGTAACTTCATGCAAGACTGTGTATAGTTTAAACTTTACAACAGGAAGAATAGCCTTTTTTAATTGTCTTCCCTGATGAATAAAAGATATCTTACCCCACTCATCACCCCACCCTCTGAATCCACCCCGAACACCATGTTACCCCAGAATTCGTCTGTTCGACACAGAAAGCTGACAAATAAAGCACCAGAGGTCAGCAGGACTAAGATTTTAATGAGGGGTAAAGTTGCCTCCAACTAGGCTGAAACAAATCACTCCACGTCTTCACTAATAAACGAGGCTCTGAGTTTGTTTCATTTAGAGAAACTCTGCAGGCAGCACCGGTTTATTCTGTGCAGGTCAAATTAAAAGGTGAGACCAGAATAAGGACTATTTAGACGGTTGCAGCAAAAACAATAAATCTGTAACTGTGTGAGGACTGCCTGTATTTAATATATCAATTTATTAGTTTCAAGAATATCACTTATTATTGAGTCAGGTTAACAAGGGAAAGAAAATATTTTAAAAAAATCTTTGGTTATACATTACTGTGCACAAATCTTGAGTGACCCCACATTTCTTTATAATTTGCTAGGAAGATGGAAATGAGTGCAGCCACACATGTACACAGCAGAGTTTGCACGATTCTAAGAAGCTTCAATATTTGGTATGGCTGCCTTTATAAAGCCTGAGCCCACTCTGGTAGCTTTCTTCTAGTTTGTTTAAGTAGTTTTCAGGAGACTTGGCTCAACTGAAGAACAAATGCATCTCTCTGTGTCAAGTCTCTGATGGTTTTTTTTCCCCCATTTCTTCATCTGCTGTTGATAGTTTTTAAGCTTTAAAGACCTACCACCTCTTTTGCCCTCCATTTGTCCAGTGTCCTCAACCATACCGAGCTATGCTACATTTTCAGCTAATGCCTTTTTGCCACGCCGTGTTGCCTTGTGCATGTTTTTTGTACATTAAACTAAAAAAAAAAGGGAACATGTTGTGTTTTTTGTGACCCACTGCTGATAAGAAAGTGCCTAAAAATTCAATTTAAAATGTGATCTTTCTAAGTTGTCAGTTATGTGTTGATACCACACTGGGTCACAGTGTAAGTATTGCATCAAATTAGTAAAATATATAATTAAAATGTTGCACAAAATCCTCACACCAGTGCTGCTACTCCATGTCTTTCATTAGAGCATCAAAAAGCAGAACAAAGGTTTGGCATTTTGCACAGGAACAGGATTAATGCCCCGAGCAAGACAGCGTTGGCAAGCCCTGCTGTGGCCTCTATGTGTATATATATCTATGCACGAGAGCCATGACTACTGCTGAGTCATTTGACCAAGGAAGGAAGGCCAATTTTACACTTCCCTGCTACAGATAAAAGCCAGATTTAAGTGGGACTTTTTGTGGTCATTGTGGCATTAATAGAGAGAGAAATTCTGCCCTTTTGGGAAATGTCAACAGGTGCTCCTTTGTCAGCCTCCCACTAAAGAGTCTCAGCATGACTAAGCACAGACACTCCTACTGCTGCCCCGTCTGTCTCCTCTTTGAACAACCTGCCCAAAACCATCAGAAACCATCAGCTACTGTTACAAACATCATCAAAATAGAGGACAGACATTTGGCTTTTCTTTCACAGGAATCCTTACCAATGTTTAAACCAATCCTAAATTAAATAAAGTCATAGATTTAACCGAGTATAATAAACGCACATAGCTTCAAAGTCTGGATTATTTTCTAATGACCAACAGGAGGCAATGACTATGGGACATCCAGTTTCCTGATAAGTTGTTGGGCTTAATCGCTAGTTGGAAATTATTACGTATGACACATGGCTCATTTTACAGGTTTTAATAGCTTTAATAGTTCTCCCAGTATCCAGTTTAACTTTGTCCAGATGTTTATCTCAAAACATTAAAGAGGACTAAGCCATATTACACAATCTGCTTCTGCTAGCGCAGACCCCTGACACGAGTCTGCATCCTTCTGCCCGCTAAATCACCATAGCAACAAGAGAAAGTACCAACAGAGAGAAGAGAGAGAGAAGAGACACGGAGGTCAAAGCCATTCAGCAGAGAGGAAAGGACATGACACAAGACAGAAAGCAACCTGAAGACAGGTTAAAAGAAACAGATGGCAGCTAAAGGGGCAGAGCTGGCAGGGCATGAGATCAGAATGACCTCGAGACCAATGAAAACAGACTCAGTTTGCAGGAAAATTACTCAAATGAAAACCCTTTTGTGCCTAACGGTGGCTGGAGGGAGATCTACAGGTTGATAAGCTTTGACAGAAAAGGAAGGATTTGCTCAGGAGTACAACTTTTGCAGCCAAAAAGCCAATAAAGAAATTCCCTAAGATCCTTCAGCCTTTTTTCTCTTCCAGTTACTGTACTGATAGGCTGCATATACCTATTTCTATTCTTCTCCCTTTCCCAACTATCTGATACTCTGGCTTTTAAAAGAGGACAGGTTCTTTTTTTTTTTTTTATTATTATTATCTCTTTTATTGGGACAGCTGTTGAATATAACAGTAGTTTGCCTTTTTACATTTTCTTCGCTGTCACATTTTAACTTATAATTTAAAAATAAAGAAGACAGAAAAAGAAGAGAAAAGAAAAGAAGAAAAAACAAAAACAACCCCCCCCCCAAAAAAACAACAACAACAACAAACAAACAAAAAACAAAAAACAAAACTAGGGTTAGGAGGCAGCAGGGCAGGTAGGACAGGTTCTAAACTGAGACAAAAATGTGCTGTTTATATATAAAACATAAAAACATAGTTGTTTTTTAAAAGGGTGTAGTTCTGGTGTAGCATTATCAAATATTTAACTACTTTTCATGTGATTTTGATTCACGAGTTCTTCCATGTAGATCTACATACAAGATATGATTAAAAACCTATGAAATCAAGCATATAAAAGCTGAATCAGATGTTTAAGAAAGGTTCAGTGTTGCAAATGCATAACCACCCACAGTATGAAAGACGTGGACAAAGACATCACCCAGGTTCTGTTTTAAAGCATCGACCTGAGTGTTTGCACTGTCCTCATGTTGGTGTTTAAAAATCAGATATGACGAGGGAATGTTGTGTCTTTCAGTTGTGGGTAACAGACATGCTGTCCATAATACAAATGGAAAAGTTCAGCAAAGACTCAAAAGATTCGCTTCTGAGTGTCTGGAACCCTTCTTGGAACACTTTGCGAGGGCCAGATTGGACTAAACTGGACCCAGATTTGTAAACTCTCATCAACTCCAGCTTTTGGTGCTCTATCCTGTGGTGTTGTGTGAAGTGCATGTTTGCTTGAATTAATTGTTTTTTCTGGAACACATCTGAGACGGTCTGTTTTTGTTTGTTTTGGGATTTGTGTTGGTTTATATTTTGAAAATGTGAAATAAAATAATAATAAAAAAAATCAAATATGATAAACTTCAGCGGATCAGACTGAGAAACTGAAGACACTGCAAGCTCCAGGAATGAGTCATTAGTCAGTAACTCAAGTGTGAATGAATAAATTACTAAATTAACTTCATGCTTTATTCAGTTTGACCTGAAACTTTGTAAAGTAACGAACACCCGAAGTCTTTTCACAACCAGAGGAGTCGCCCCCTGCTGGCCATTAAAAGATGGCAGATTTGAGACATTTCCATTTTGTCTTCACCCTAAGAAGGTTGAACCAATGTTTTACACCGTCTATGCCCCACCCAACTTTCAGTGTTATTTTTAAAGTGCAAAACATCCCTTACCTTTCTTGTTCATGCGAAAGAAATGTAATGCTATTGGCCAGGAAAGAATCGCCATCAATGACACTGCAGCCACATGTAGGTAAGGTGCTGTGACCTAAATATAAAAAGAAAGCGACAGCACGTAATAAACATAACTGTACAAAGCTCTCTGCTAATATTTATGACTACAATAATAACTGTACAATGTTTAATAAACTGTGGTTAATTATTTGAAAAAAACAAAACCAAACAACGAATCACTCCTTGCTGTGATTGGCTGGTGTGGCTCACCTGCAGAGAGAGGAGGAGAGTCTTCCATTCTTTGCTCCAGAGGTCAGAGAGGATGGCGGTGGCTGTGACGGAGAACGCCAGCGTCACCACAATACCAGACTGACAAAGAGAGGAAGACGAGAAAATACAACGTATGTGAGTGCACACCAACGGAGACCTGAAAAACCAACGGTTCATGCTCTTTTACATTTCTGTATTTATACCTTGTGGCTCCAGTGAAGGTACAACCTCTGGCCCTCAGAAAGCAAACACACCGCCAGCACCTAAACAACAGGTGCAGAACAGGCTTATTAGAGTGTCAGACATTAATATTCTTAATATCCAATATCTATTAATATTAGCGTTTTATAAAGCTGATTAAAGCAACCATCTGTTAAACCTTTAACTTCAAGAACTTTAAAAAAAAATAAAAATAAAAATTTATTTTGTCCTGATTTTTTTCTTCTTATTAAATTTCTTTCATGTGTCCAATAAAAACAGTCAAATCTCTACGGATTTGATCAAAGCCAATCTTCAAAGCAGAAAGTCAACTGTTAATACAGATTTTTCTTTCACATGTTTTATATAAAAGTCTTACATAAGTTTGTCACTTTAGAGAAGAAGACAAGCTCCTAAATGTCAAACGGCCTGCTGATGCAGCCCGAGGCACAGTGCACACGTGTGTCTAATAAAACGCTTTGAAGAACTCCAGTTAAAGTGAAAAAAACAAACAAGTAATCTGTGATGTTTCAATGCTTTGCTGTTATTGCATAACTGCAGGAGGGCACAGGTTGGTAACAGGAGAGCAAACAAACAGTCAAGTAGGTCCCAATAAGGTGTTGCTGAAAACTTGCTGAACTTTAATAAGAACATTGTTGTAGCTGTAATACAAAGGCTTTCTTGGCATCTCCAGGGAATTAAAGTGGCAACCACTATTTTCTTTCTTCTTTTTTTAAATTGGTTTTCTATTACATTTCCAGGTTCCAGACAGGTTGAAATCTGAAATCGGTGTTCATACCAATAGCAGAGAGATGTATGTGAAGAGAGCCGCAGCAACAATCAGCAGGACCAGAGACCAGGGGAACCAGAACCCAAGATTCCCAAAGTTAAACCTGAAGATACAAAAGGACAGAAACAAAACTGTAGCAGCAGCTTCGTGTCTGTTTAAAGTGTGCTTCATGGTGTGTTTGGTCAGTTTAATCCACACCAACTCTGAACAAAACATCAAACAGTCATCAGCTGTGGACATTTATACCTGTGGACAAAAACTGCAACATTTCCTGGAGACAGTTGTCATGAATCTGTAAGTGATGTGTTTTATGCATATTTTGTGTGTGGAGCACATGTTTAACCAGATGGGTGAAGCTGGAACAGAAAAGCTCTTTAAAAGCAGCAACAGTTGTATTTTTTACTTAAACAATGTTTTCTTTGAGTCCTAACCAGGTAGGTTTTGTTACAAAAAAAATAACCAGTTAATGTAGTATTGTGTTGCATTTTTCAATACAAGTTCAAAGTGTGAAAATCAGTGACGATTGAATGAACTCCCAAGATGTGTGTCTTGCTCATGAATCAGTGCATATGAGTGTACTTAGACTTATGAACAAATGTTGTGGGAGATTCAAATGCTTTATGACAGTTACAGCTGCTCAAGTTGTCTTTTTCTGACTCTGAAAAACGTTTCACTGACGATTGATTTTCAACTTTATTTCCTCCAAACAGCTCTACCCTTATGGCTACATCCCAACTCCATCACATAAAACAATGGATGCACTAAAAATTACAACAAACACTTGTTGAGCGGTTGTGAAACTGAAGCGTACAATGCAACCCAGAAATGGAGACGTCTTCAAAGTAAAAGTTGCATCTTTTGTGACATTTTTCTTTCAGCAATAAGGGACAACTTTTACTTTGAAGGCAAACATTCTCAGTTAGTAGTTTGCATTTTCTCTACTGCTTGAGTGTTTGCAGACATGTCATCTGTGTTTTTAATGCAAACTATAGGCAAAAGTGACAATCTTCTAGCGACCAAAGCCATTGCAAAGGTTTTTGGTCCAGAACCTTGTTTGGGACTGATTTCACCCAGCAACAGCCAGCAACCTTCAGCAACCATTTGCCAATCAGTTGGAAAATAGAGAGTAAAGGTTTCCTCTCCAGACATATGTGCCTGAGGCAAAACATTAATGTGTGAGCACTTGTCATTGTTTGTCAGTGTGCTCAGTACGAACCAGTCAAAGTCATTGTAGTCGTTCTGGGCTTCACTCCAGAAATAGAGGAACACAAAACTCAGGAAAAAGGTGAGGATCAGGAGGCCAAAGCTGCCACACTCCACCTGTAAAACACACACAGAAGTTCAATCAAACAGCCCATTTCTACTCCACAAAAGAAAAAAATCAAATATATATGCATCATACTCCGCTAGCTCCCGGTGAAGATGTTAAACAGTTTAAAGGCGAACTCGTTTTCTCGGGGTAAAAAAGGTTTACATTCATATTTGGAGCACAAACTCCCTGATGCTGAGGACGTATTTTATTACCAGGTGCAAATAGAACCACTAAATATTAAAACCAGCTGACAGAGCGTATGCACATACTGATATTTTTTCATAGAAAAAGCAGTCAGAGTCAGCAGGCCAGACTGAGGAGAACCGGCTGGGTAATCAATACTCTTTGCACAATCAGCAAACTAACCAACAATCTGCTTGTTGCAGACGGTGTGTGTGTGTGTGTGTGTGTGTGTGTGTGTGTGTGTGTGTGTGTGTGTGTGTGTGTGTGTGTGTGTGTACCTTGCTGCAGCAGCACTCTCCCGGCTGTGCCCGGGCTCTTTGGTATCGTCTCCATTGGCAGCCGTAGAGGCCAGCCAGGCAGGAGACAAATGGCTGGTGTTCATACCTGATACAGATACAAAAACACTCAGGATGACACTTTCCTAAATACAGCATTCAACATATTAAATACATGTTATGAATGAACTGTACTCCTACAATTTTATTACAAATAGGCTTTGAGCAACACACTTTACTGTCATTTCTGAGAAGTGTTTACTGGACATTTATGTTTTTTCTGCCATGTCATCTTCATATAGAACATGGACAAAGCCTATGGGCAGGTAACCTCTGCTATCCAAAGGAACAGGCTTCAGACTGGTCTCTTTGGCCCCCCCACCCCAAATCTTGGCCTTCCACCCACCTACTGTTCAAACCTTTGTTTGCCGGAAGGGACAAAAGAGAGTCAGGAAGGAAAAGACAGGAGCTAAAAGGGCTCGTCTTTGAAGCATCGAGGCCCAGAAGGTTTGTTTTCAAATGTTTAAAAAAAAAGGGATCATGCACAGTAAGGGTCAATGTATAAATGTGCCAGATTTAGCTTTACATCTGCAGCCCCTGACAAGTCGATGGCCCTTACAGCATAAAGAGTAAAAGAAAACTAAAAACACAAGAGCATCGACTCAAAAAAGAAAAACCAGAAAAGAAAAGCACATAAACGTGAGGATGTATTTCAAATCGTGACAGCATGTTTAATGATCCTGTGACCACTGTGTTATACTGTGTCCAACTGATATGATGAAAAAGCATTATTTTAATCTATGATTCATACAAAGGTACTCCAACATGAAAATACTGAGCTGGAAATGTAGTGCAGGGTGTGAAATAATCTAATCAAAATAATGTTGAGTGAAAACCCAGATTCACTAAGATTGAAAATGAATAAATCTTTGCATGACAATGTGCTGGTTGCTCAAGATTTTACTGAAATCAACAAACTGCCAGCAACAAACATTTCCTACAGTGAACACACAGGAAAATAGCACAGTTTAGATGATGCATTCAGGTTATCTCGGTACATAAATAAGCTGTGTGACTCATCCTGTACAGATGGTCATACTTTAGAACGAACAGTCCTCCATGAAAACAGTGTAAAGCTCATCGTGTACAGACAGGATGTTTGAAAAGTTATTTTCTGATACTTTAAAACAAATTAAGTTCAGCCCCGAGGAACCAATGACAATTAAAATGGTCTAAATTCTAGATTTGAAATCAGGGCGTATTTTGTTTTATTGAATACCTCTTTGTACCAGTGTGTCAAAATAATTCAGGACACTCCATTCAAGCTACTTTAGGCTAACCCTGTCTGATGTTTACATTTTCTGGATGTGTTTTATTTTTAACTTTGCAGGCTCTGTTAAACCCTCATAAAAAGCGCAGCTGTAACAAAATCTGCTGCTGAGGTTGCCTTGCCTCTCTTTCTTCATCTCTAAACTGCTCAGCTTTAGCTGTCTCTCTGATGTACTCTAATGTTATCCTGGTCACTCCCAATGAAAATCGTAACATATTCAGCCTCTCCAGGGCTCGCAAAATCGCTAGCCCCGGGACGTCGGGCTGGTGATTTTGCGAGCCCTGCTCTCCACTTCCTGTCTTTTTGTCAGTCCCAAACATCATAGCAAGTCTCACTACCATCTTGTAAACCTTCCCATTCACACTTGCTGATATTCCTGTGTCAAAAATTGCCTCTAACATGTGTCCCCACCATGTCTCCACCCTGCCCGTTCGCCTTACTTGTTTACTGTCAGTTGCTCTGCATGGTTGACCCAAGCTATTTAAACTCATCTTCCTTCACCATCTCTGCTCCTCGCATCTTCACTTTTCCATCTGTCTCCTTCTCATTTAAACATCTTCTGCCCAGCGTCTCTCCTGTGCACACCTCCACCTCTCCAGGCTCTCTTCCACCTGATCTCTGCAAACATCATATTTCAGAGACCTGACCTCATCAGTCAGCCTGTCCTGTCACCACTGTCCTCATAAATGTCCTGCATCACCATCACACACTTCTCTGCCCTAACTTTTTCCATGACTTCCTCATGAAGTACCACAGTTCACCTCTTGGCTTCCATTATATGCTTTCTCTAAATCCACCGGACCTTGGTAAATAATGATTAGAAGCTATATTAACTTACAATGTTTCCTTCAAGATCAAGGAAAGATGACTAAGAAAAAAAGAGGTTAGAGGCCATTTTTTGGACTATTCAACTACAGTCTGTATGTACCACAGTGAGTGTAATGGTGATGGTGTTTTGTACCTTTGCAGCAGCTGCCGCCGCACCACCTTTAGCTTCCCCAGCTTCAGTCTGGTCACGGGCATACAGTCAGCCCCAGCCCAGCATCACAGAGAGAGACAGAAAAGGAGAGAAGACATGTAGGACAGCGAGAAGGGAAAAGCTGGATTTTTGGCCACCAAACTCTTTACCTAAGGGGGAGAAAAGAAATCTCAATTTAAAATGTATTCACAGGAAAAGTAGACTCAGCAAGACAGAGCGTGTGAGTGTCCTGGTTTCATTACTGTGGCCTGCTTAAAGTAACCCAGAAGATGCCGATCAGCTCACAGAAATACACACTGACCTGTATTTGATCTACAGCTCAAACATGTGATTTATGATAATCAAATGTCCTACATGCTCAGCTAATCTATCACGCCATATCTGGAGCAGAACGACTGAACTACACCCACAGAAGAAGAACAAGTCTCTCTCTCTCCATCTACCCCTAAAGACAGAGTAATGGCAGCAATTTTTCAGGGGGATTGGAGTAGCATCGCTGTAAAGCTGCACCTCGTTCACAGTCACGAGCTGTGAGTAGCAACCGAAAAGAATGAAGTGACAGCCACAAGCATCCAAAACGAGTTTCCTCAGCCTTAACATATAAACACAAGAACGGACTCACTTCACACTGCAAGCTGTTATTTCACATGACATTACTTCAAGTTACTGGAAGTCGCTTCCTGCATCACTTCTGTGTGGACAGCCCTCCACAGATAGCTGAGGAGTTTGGAGCAGAGACATTGCTCCTTCATCTCAAATAGAGCCAGGTGAGGTGGTTCATATGTCTTATAAGGGTGATTCTTGACACCTGCCTTTGGAGGTTTTCTGGGCACCCAAAAAGTTGCAGGAAACCCAATGTAAACCTCGTTCAATAGATTAAATATAGCATTGAAGTGCAGCTGGGATTTCCCAGAAGAAAATGTATCACCATTTCACCTGGTGATAGTGCAGCCCTAATGTGGACATAATTGATGGATTTATTTAAAAATTAGATTTGTTCCTGGATCTGATAAGACAGCTTCTTCCACAAGAATGAAAACAGTAGCTCAAGAAATTTACAACCAGGTTTGAAATTCCTGATGTGCAATTCATTTCAGCCAAAACTATTCTGCTCTATACCACACAGTAATGTGCAGTAAGCACTGAGCAACCCTTCATTTCTTTACATTTTGCTTGCAAAATGGAAATAGGTGAAATAAGATGACAGTACTTTATTAAAACGTGCTAACATAAGCAATATATTTTATGCTACATACATATCCCCATCTTAAAATGTGCACAGTTCAGTGTGTTGTTTGTCATTTCCATTTTAATTTTTGTGACTGAAGTCTGTTACTAGACGACCAGCAAACTTATCGCACAGCTCCCATGGCAACTGTGACATCAGATATTATTACTGCAGTGAAGAGGATGATGGAAGGTGGGGCAAACAAGAAAGGACCAGATGGAGTGATAAAGGGGAGAGTGAGGAAATGACAGGGTGAAAGTGTGAGAGGGAAACCACGATTAGGCGTCATCAAAGCTGTTATGTACAGAACATAAAAGCACACAGAGTCCTCTGTCCCACACTCAGTGAATTGTGCAGTTCACAGTGAGCACATAGTACATTCAGAGAGACGCGGAATATAAAAACAGGAAATGTAAATATCTGGCGAGGGAGTCAGCACCCACATGCTGTCATTCAAGCAAAACCTGAGATACTGAATGTGTTGTGCTGGAATTGCCCACCCCTGGCCTAGAAAACTAAATGGTTTTGGCCATTATTCATCAACTGTCCGGGGAGCACATGTTTTATGACTCATTCATTTATAAGTGTGGTTGCCTTAACTGGGAGGTTTGTGCCAACACAGGAAATCCATGCAACACGTGTACATGGATCAAACATGCAGAAATTTAGACATCACTTTCAAATGACCCTTTTTGTACCATCTTTTATTATTTTTAGTTTAGTTGTTTTAAAGTGTGGTAAATGGGCTGGTTCTTATATAGCGCTTTCCTACTCTACTTGAGCGCTCACAGTGCTTTATATCATTTCACACCCATTCATACAAGCACTTTTTTCTTTGCTTTTTTTACTTAAGTGCTTTCTATCTAACATTGACACACATTCATACTCTGACGGACGTATCGGAGGACAACTTGGGGTTTGTAACTTGCTCAAGAATATTTGACATGCAGACTGAAGCAGCCAGGGATCGGACCTCCAACCTTCTGAGTAACCAATGACTTGTGAGCTTTGTGTCACAGCCAATGGGAGTAATAATAAAAAGTATAAATAAATAAACAACTAATCGTCTACAGTGGATTCACACCAGCAGCTGTTTATCTGGACCGGCTTACTGCTAACAGTTAAATTGCAGAAGGATTAATTGGTATTTTAGTCCACAGACTGTCTCCCTTCACTCTGCAGACAGCTCTGTTTCTATAGGCTTACATAACTAAACCATTGTTGTCTAAAGTTACTCTCAACCCACAGCCTGTCAGAGAGTTTTAACACTCGATAAAAGTGTTTTTTCTTCTGTCTGTTGCTGGGTTTAGGACCTAAAGTGCGTCAGATGTGAGGCAGGTTGTGACGTGAAGAGAGCACTACCTGAGCTCCTGAGGTAAAAAGTAGGGTGCACTTGTTAAATTTAGGAGGATAAATTCGCTGTCCAACGAGTGAGGACGCACAAAAGTAGATCACGGGAAAATGTGCTGCTGAGGTTTTTCAATCTTTATGTCAACCTCTCCTTCCTTGGCTCTCTTTCTTTGTCTTGACACAGTTTTCCTTCCACATTCTCCCCCATCACCTATCCATCTGTCAGTTCCTCTTTGTCTCAGTGCAGATTTTGGATTGTGGCCAGTGCCTTAGCTGCAGGACATCCAACTGCACGCATGGACAGCACTTTATTTGGCCACAGGCAAAAAAAACTTCAGCTGAGGTCACCTCACCTGCCCACACACTTTTCTATTTATATTTATGCACACTATATCAACAACGACACTACAGCACCAACTTTTTACTTTCAGGTGTTGTAAAAACTGTTTGTCAGTAAGGCTGTAGTTTGATGTGTAAAGACAGGTAAGTCAGATAAAGTTCTTAGAGCTGTGTGTTTTGTTTCACAACGACGCTCTCGTTTCGTTATTTAGTCCTGCAGCTCTTTACTTTTCTCGCTCCTTAAACATCCCAGATCACTCTGTCACACTATGGTATGTCTGAATTATTTCCTTGTTAACTTATTTTAAATCTTATTTAACATGGAAGATTTAGAAGTTTAGCATAGTTTCCATAACATTTGACTATACCCTTCTATAGTTTCACATTTATCATCCTTGCAGACAACCAACACTGCCTTTTTTGGTCAAAAGGAGAGAAAACAGAAGGAGGGTGTTTCTGTCTGCCATTTTCATTTTAAATGTCAGCCTAATGCACCTGGTCATGGTCACGTCGAACCCTGAAACAGCTGTAATCACTGAACTGCTGCAGCGCCACAGGAACAACACAACGCAGGTAAAGAGTCTGTGTTTGACACAGCTTCAGACATGCAGCACTGCTCTGATCCCAGTGACAGCAGGAAAGGTGGGAACCTCACCATATGTGCTGCTGTCTGAAGGGGACCGAGCGTCTCTAAACAACAGTTTTTAACTAAGACGCTACGACACAAGTTACACACCTAAAACCCGTCAGCACAGTTCTGTACAGCAAAGAAATGTGGTTTCTGTTTTGTTGATGTTGTGATGCCTTTCGAATGCCTTGTCAGGCTTCATTTTAGATCTAATGTTCAGGCATTAAAGCGTGAACAAAGGGGTTAATACTCTACACTACACACACTTAATACATATTAAGTGATGATGTGTTAATCCTGCTCCAGGTTGGATGAGGCTCTTGTTTTTTTATCTTGTCATGAGCTCCTACCAAAACGAGTTAGTGGCCATTCTCAGTCGCAGATCTGTAAGTTTTTCAAACACGAGGTGTATACTACAGCCAGAAGGCTCACTGTATCCCAGATATCAAATATTCTTAAGCCTAAGAATTCAATCCCTCTCAGGCTGATTGAAATTTCAGTGTGGGTATTAATCTTTATGGATGCCTGGACGTTAAATTTTACTGTAACACCTGTTAGAACAGCTACACTACATTTTATTGGAGCTGAAAAAGCATGGACCATTTTTACCTCTCAGCGGTGCCTCGTGTTTGCTTGGCTTTAGAAAATGAAACCGCAGTCAGACCCGGAAATAAAGCTGGGCATACACTGTGAGAGTTTGGGCCCATTTTGAGACGATTTTCCAGTCATGTGACCATTTTGGGGATCGGCCCGAGTTTCGCCTTAATCGTGTGTTGTGCATCGTGTAGTATACATGGGGTAATGAGAAGCGATTAACACCTCACGACCACCTCACGACCAGCTCCCAATCAGCAATCGTATGGTCACAAGAAAATCAAACCTGTTTGAAATCCTGGTCGTGAGGGTATCGCACTGTGGAAGCAGTGCCACGGGCCGATTTAACGCAACCTCTCACACTGCGCATACGCAAACACAGAAATGGAAGTGAAAAAGACGGAGCAGCACGCCAGTTCAGCGTGTGTGCAGTTGTGTATAGATGCACAATGTGAGCACTCAAGTCACATCAGAGCATCGGGCCGTATAGTGTGAGAACATGCATCGTGACCTACAAACTTCTAACCCCTGCCATTCAGTCGTACAGTTTGAGCTGGAGCTGAATAACGCGACTGAACCCGCCCGCCCCCAAAAAATGCATAGTGTGTGCCCAGGTTAATGATGTTAATGATGGAGAAATGCTTTAACGTTAAGGATGAAGATGGCTTAGGATCTGATGTGGATGTTATAATAATACAGTTTAAGCAGCAGGTGTTTAACAGCAGGCCTTAGACCAAATCAGCAGCAATGAACTGCAGAAAACCAGTGAATGGAGAAGAAATTCTGGTGCGCATTTTTCCACTATAGCCTAAATTTTTACACCTAATGGTTTTCCAATTCTAAAACCTAGAACACATCATCTTAGCATATCTAACCATGATTTCCTCGTGATATTTTAAACACATAAAAAGCATTTTTAAAGTGACCATAACGTATACACATCACATTCAATCGACACACATTTTGTTACTACAGAGAACCTTTGCAAAGCACCACCAGTAGAAACGATA